ATGTTGCGCAAATGTCCAATCATAACATATTATTCAATTTCATGTAATCTACCAATCACGAGAAAGTTATCCTATATCTGTTAACCATAGTTTATACGTATTTAATTTTTTATTACCAAAATTAACCGACTATACGTACTATTCTAGTTGGTTCTTTATTAATATATTCGACGCCAAAATACGGTGATCGATTCATTAATTAAACAATTATAATAGATTACAGCATTTAAATATGATGCAGCCTTAATTTCTCTTTAAATAATCAATAAGCTAATTTTTATTTATATCCGAACACAAAATACTTAATTTTATTATGTATAAGAATACTTGGAAAATTGTTATTAAGAAAGGATGAAATTCAAATATTAAAAAAATTCAGAACTGTAAACGCAAAGAAGGCGTGCAAGATATTCAACCCTTTTTTTTGTTCGTTACAATTAATTATGATAATTACTTGAAAATTCTAATAAAAAACTTATTTACCTAGATACAAAGGTCTAGAATTGATAAATTTCAATAATGCAATGCTATACGCAAAAAATACTTCTTTGTACATGAACAAAAATGCTGCTGTTAAAACAGATTGAAGTAATTTATATGTAATCCCTTTGTAAAGACCGCCGATCCCTTCGTCTTGAACAATTTTTCGCAAACCGTCAAGCACTGAGTTATATCGACCACTTTCTTTTGAAGATTGGCGAAGTTGCATACGTGATTTAATAACGCTACAAATAAATAAATAAATAAATAATTTAAATATTTAATTCTGATAAATAATCATAACAAAAATTAAGATGTAACTTACATATAAGGATAAGTTATTCCGGTGGCAATGAGTTTGCTAACAGCACCTAATAAGAAAAAATCAAGATTCCCTAATTTCCTGATTTTCTCTAATTGTACTTTTAATTGCTCATACGAAGTGTATTGAAGAATTGGGTTGATAACTAAAATCAACGCAGGGATAATACCTTGCCAGAAGGCCATAACCCCATCTTCTTCAATAATTTTTAAAACTGTTGAAATAGTTCCCAATCTTCTTGCTTTCGCTTGTTTTACATTTGATTCGTTTTCATCTAATGAGTCTTTACGTGTAGTCATACGAGTCTAAACATTATAAGTACCATAAAAGTATTAGCAAGGCTGATATAATACAGTATAGATTAAAAAAAAAAATGTAAGGATTCATACATTAACAACCCAAATAGGATTTGTAACCACGGCAGTTAAAGCACCTGCTATAGCACCTGAGAGCATAGATTCTTTGAGTGATATAGGGCGTTTTGCTTTTGCCGATTTTTCAAACATTGACTTGGTCCACTCGTAAAAATAATAATAAACACCTATAATAGAATTAAAAGTTAATTCTGCATCACTATATATTAATAATAAATAATGAGAATTGCTATTTGTACCCCCATACAAATTAAAGATTTTTTTAAATTTTGAGCGAAGATATCTCGACAGCCACCAAGTAAAATTCGATAAACTTTTTTTATTTAAATTCTATGCAAACATAGAATTCAAATAAAAAAAGTTCATTGAAATTTGCCTAGTGGTTGCCGAGATATCTTCGCTCAAAGTCTTAAAAAACTCAAAGCGTCTAACAAAATTTTTTTATTCTTTGAGCTACGGTCCGGTCTTGGTCTATAAATCGGTCTATTGGCTGGTTTTCAAAAATAAGCTATGTGGTTTTAATGATCGCCACATATAAAAAGACCTTACAGCTATCATCATAAATCCTGGGACAATTGAAAAATTGCCAATGCCTAGTGATGCAGTAGATGATTTGTCGTAACTAGTTGCGACATAGGTTTTTAGGCTTGAGCCGTAACGTAATTGGAACGATTCTACTGCATCATTACAATGACTGAATCGACAAGTTACCGATTAAAATCTATAAGTTACTGAATTAGGCTGACATTGGAAACTTATAGATACGGTCATTGATATATATATATATTAGCCAATAAGGTCATTCCATAGGCTTTGGACTGATCCAGACCGGTCCTCAATTTAGGACCGAAAACTGGTTGGACTGGTCCAAAAGACCGGTCCGGACCATGGTCCTTGTAGGACCGTAACATCCCTACTTTGAGCGAAGATATCTCGACACTCACCAAGCCAAATTCAATGAACTTTTTTTATCTGAATTCTAAGAATCTGTAGAATTCAAATATAAAAAAAAAGTTTATTGAATTTGGCTTGGATATCTTCATTCGAATTTTTAAAAAACTCAACGCCTATAAATAGAAACTGCGCCAAAATTTTTTTTATTTTTGAGCGAAGATATCTCAGTAACTATCAGGTTAAATTTGGTGAACTTTTTTTTATTTGAATTCTACAAATTCTTAGAATTCAGATAAAAAAAAGTTAATTGAATTTGGCTTGGTGAGCGTCGAGATATCTTCGTTCAAAGAATAAAAAATCGAGTTTTTTAAGACTTTGAGCGAAGATATCTCGGCAACCAGACAAATTTCAATGAGCCTTTTTTTATTTGAATTCTACGTATGCATAGAATTCAAATAAAAAAAGTTTATCGAATTTGACTTAGTGGCTGTCGAGATATCTTCGCTCAAAGTTCGAAAAAAAACTTTAATTTGCATGGGGGTATGGATAGCGAATAGCAATTCCCTAAATAATTTATATAAATTTATTTAACAAACCATTCGTAAGGGCAATACCAAATATGGCAGAATTCACCCCGCTAATATAATGTAAAAGTTATAATTAAAAAAAATTAGCCAACAATATGCATATCCAATACTCAGTAATACACTTAAATTCTTAATTCTTACGAGTATAACCCACTAATGCCTTCAGATTTTATAATTTTTATAATAGCGTCTCTCCCACCCTACAAACATAACATTCAACATATTCAGCATTAACAAGTTAAAAAAAAAGAATTGAACGCACCTTATAAGCTTCCACTGCCTTATTATCCTTTTGAACTTGGAGTCTAGAACTAACAGTTATTAAAGGATATGTTAAAGCCATAGAAACGATGCCACCAGCCGCGCCTAAGGTAATAAAAAGAACAGCTTAATTCTTTTCAAATAGTAGCTGAAGAACTTCTCAAGTGCTCTATGCTTACCGCTGAGTGCATGAGCTACGTTATCAGGCATAACTGTTAATTCTTTCGGGTAGAATGAAAGGTGAAAAAAAATTATAAATTCGTTAGACTTGAATATCTCAGTGTTCGGTGACTTCCTTAAATGTAAAAAAGTAGGCGTACACGATAAGATCTAAAATACCATTGGTCAATGAGATCAAATAAAGATTCTTTCATATCGATAGTTATATATTTTGCACAAAAAAAATGAGCATAGAAATAAAAAGCCAACTTGAGAGTAAAGGCTGGTAGGTATAAGCGATCTATTGTCCTATATATAGGCTCTATTTTGGTGGATTGAGTTTTGCAGTCCTGAATTTTCTAATTTCGATTGGTGAATAAATATTAAAATCGAACAATTTAAATGCACAGGTACCTAAGTGACGAGGGCCTTGCATATATACAAGAGAATTTTGAAAGTGAACAACCAAGTACTGAAGAAATTGTCAAAGAAGCCTTAAACGTAATTCATTTATACGTTACTTTCATATATAGTTTTATACAACTTTATTTACTGAATTTTTGTTACTAGACAGATCTTAGACAAGTGAGCCGTGGAATTTTACCTCGTGATGTTTCAGAAAAAAAAGAAATATCTGGGCCATTAGTTTTACAATTACTATCAATAATCAATCTCTCTACTCCCTTGCAAAACCAACAAGCCACTCCAAGGCTATTCCAATTAACTTTCACTGATGGTGCAAAAAAAGTCAAAGGAATAGAAATATTTGGCCATGTAGAAAATGTGAGGTAAGTTTTGTTGAAGCTTTCAAAAATGATTGTAATAATATGTAACGGTTCTTGATAACATGTTATTAATATTTCGTAATCTAACAAGGTATATTTAAATTCTTATATATATGTAGTCTGAATACGCCACCGGGTACCAAGTTTTTAGTAATAAAAGACATTAGTATTCATGATAATTTATTATTTCTTGGACCTGGAATGCTAGAATTTTTGGGCGGCGAAGTGGAAGAGATGATTAAAGAATGGAAAGTTGGAAGAGTATGTATATACCATTTCAAGCATATCATTCTATCTTATATGTATATTAATATGTATATTAATTTTTTATTTATCATTTTTAGCAATTCATTACTCGACGTCCTACTACATCTGCAAAGCAAGGTGAAGGAGCTGTAAAAGATGATGAAGGTCCACCTCCGTTTATACCTTTCAAAATCAAAAATTCTGATTATCAAACGTCTCAACACAGTAATAATGATCAATTTAATGAATCGGTTAAGTTTAATAATAAGGATAATAATAATCAATTAAATAATAAACGAGGTCAAAATCAAAACAAACATCAAAATTCTCGACAACGAAACCAAAATAATAATAGTAATAGGGGGAATCAAAATAATAATAGTAATAGGGGGAATCAAAATAATAATAGTAATAGAGGGAATCGATATAATAGTAGTAATAGAGGGAATCAATATAATAGTAGTAATAGAGGGAATCAATATAATAGTAGTAATAGAGGGAATCAATATAATAATAGTAATAGAGGGCGTGGACGTAATCGAGAAAGAGGTGAAGAACATTTTGACAATTCTCACCAAGAAACTTTCGCAAGCCATGGACATCATCAAGTAAGAGGTAGGAACCAATCATATAACGATGATTTATCTACAAATAGTGGCCAATACCGAGGCAGAGGAGATCAACATCATGGCAATTCTCCTCAACAGAATATGGTTGCAAATCGTGGACATTATCGTGGACATTACCGTGGACACGGCAACGAGATGTATGGCTGGGGTAGAGACGAACATTGAGGAAGGACAAAAATAAATTATAACTAGTTGATATTGTATTTATATATCGCCTACTCGAAATCTTTATCGCATAATGTTTATGATATGTAGATAATAATATTAAAATTTCTTTTTTTAGTGATCCGAATCGTCTAATTGATCAGTTGGATCAACTTTTGTAAATTAATTGTGATTAGTTGTCATATATTAATTATTTTATATGATTAATTTATTTAAGAAAAAGTAGTTATTTCCAAAGCTCTAAATTGATTTCGATTCGATTCGTATCACGACTCGATACTTATGCAAACCAATTGAAAGTTTAATAATGATTGTGGCTATTTTTTGCAGAAGTTGTGTAGATCACATTTAGAATAAAGTTTGTTTGATATAATATATTGTAAACATAAATTATGAGTTCAGTAGTTGTTAAAATAAATATTAACTTAGTATTATTTTATTAAAAAAAAAAACTAGATTTATTTATATACACGTAAGCTTAATTAAATAAGAATTTATAATATGAATATATATAGGGAATCAATTTTCATACCCTCCTACAGAATTTTTTTAAAAAATTTGAATGAAGATATCTTAGTAACTATCAAATTAAATTTAATAAACTTTTTTTAAATTCTATAGATTCATAGAATTCAAATAAAAAAAAGTTTATTGAATTTGGCCCAGTAGTTGCTAAGATATCTTTGCTCAAAGTTTGAAAAAAATCAAAACGTCTATCAAAATGTCTATCAAAACAAACTACAAAATTTTCTTTAAACTTTGAGTGAAGATATCTTTGCAACTACTAAGCCAAATTGAATAAACTTTTTTTTATTTGAATTCTATGATTCTATAGAATTAAAATAAAAAAAAATTCATAGAATTTAACTTAATAGTTATAGAGTTAGCTTCACTCAAATTTTTAAAAAAATCCAAAACGTCGATCAAAATAGAAGCTAAGCCAAATTTTTTTCCAAACTTTAAGCGAAGATAGCTTAGCAACCACCAAGCCAAATTTGATAAACTTTTTTATTTAAATTCTACGAATTCATAGAATTCAAATAGAAAAATTTTTATCAAATTTGGCTTGGTGGTCGCTAAGATATTTTTGCTTAAAGTTTGGAAAAAAGTTTGGTGCAGCTACTGTTTTGATAGACATTTTGGATTTTTCTTAAAATTTGAGTGAAGATAACTCTATAACTATTAAGTTAAATTCTATGAATTTTTTTTTATTTTAATTCTATAGAATCATAGAATTCAAACAAAAAAAAGTTCATTGAATTTGGCTTAGTAGTTGCAGAGATATCTTCACTCAAAGTTTAAAAAAATTTTGTAGTTTGTTTTGATAAATATTTTGATAGACGTTTTGATTTTTTTCAAACTTTGAGCAAAGTTATCTTAGCAACTACTGGGCCAAATTCAATAAACTTTTTTTTATTTGAATTCTATGAATCTATAAAATTTAAAGAAAAAAAGTTTATTAAATTTGATTTGGTATTTACTAAGATATTTTTACTTCAAGTTTAAAAAAAGATTAAATCTGCAGGGGGTATGAATATTAAATGTGGGGGGTATGAAAATTAATCCCCTATTATGAATAAATAAATTATAATATTACCTCATCATCTTCAGAATGATCAGCATTATTTTTTTCTTTATATTTAATTCCATTAATTGAATTGCTTGTAATTGGAGCTTCAATACTTGGATCATCTTTTAGATATTTATCCATATCACCAAAGAATTTCCAATCATTCTGAATTGCTTCTTCACCAGTATTTTTGATAGTATCCTTTATATTATGATATTTTTGGTGAAGAGAATCTCATTTTTGTTGGAAAGAAATTTTGGATCGCTCTTTTAAAATTGTACTTGAAGTGGAAACTTGAATATTTAAAATGATTTTATCCCAAATACAGTCTTTTTTACACAGATCTCTTACTTGTTGTAGTGCATGTTGATTTTTTCCAACTTTATCAATTAGCATTCTAACTTCAGATGATGATCATCAATTATTTGGTTTATTTCCCAAAATAGTATTAGCATTGTGAACTAGAGGTTTTATCTAAATTTTGACTACTATTAGTAGTCAAAATTTGATTATTGTTACTAATGGGAGGCTTTAAAAGAGATGAAAAAGTGTTTGCATTAATAACGAAAAAGAATATTTGGAAGATTTTCAAAATTAATTAAGAAACAAATGAATACTATTGTAGAGACAATATAAAAACAATATATACATACTTGTTAAATTCAACAACACCAACATGATGAGCAAATTAAAATTTTTAAAGAAATTTTAAAATACAATGTAATTTATTTATTGATATATTTTATATTTATTGTATTACAGTAGCTTTTAATTATTTGTATATTAAATAATTAATGAAGATTTGCAAAAATATTTGCTAGATATTTTCTTTTCTGTCTTCCTGCCATATTTTCTCTTTCATCATCTGCTACAATTTCTTTGTCAACCTCATTATTTTCATTAATAAATCATCATTGTTTTCTTCCTCATCTAATATATCACTATTATCAATACAAATATTGTACAAAATACAACATTCATGAATAATTCTAACAATTCTTTCTAAATCTGTATAATATATTCTATTTAAAATTCTCCATCATTTTTTCAAATACCCAAACACTTGTTTAATGATCATTCGCATTGAAAATAAAACCTTATTAAACTGTTGCTTTTTATGTGTTAATCGTCATAATCTAAAAATAGTTCATGAGATAAGTTCTAAGAGGGTAAGCTAAATCGGCAATTATATAAGTGCCACCTGGAACCTATTGTTCAGGATTGTATAAAATCTTATAATATAAAGAAGATTGATAAAACACTCAAGCATCATGTATATTTCTTTTAAAAATTTAATTAATATATATAGATTAAAAAAAAATTAATAATAAATAAACTTTTATTAACCTGCTTTACCAATATGTATATATATAAAACATCTCAAATAATCTACGACCCCAAGAAGATTAATCGAATGAAAATTTTTTTGATTTACAAATCGAGCTCTATTTTTGTAAGGAGGGTGAATAGAAATATGCGATCTATCCATTGCACTAACCATATTAGGTAAATTATACTCCAGGCCTGATATTTCATGCTCAAACTCCTGTGTTATAGTTGCTAATTTTTCTCCTTATGTCTACATTATTCTTTTCTGTTCCAAATCTAACAAAGCCTCCAAGAACCGATCTATAAAATGACATACTGATCCTTGACTTATGCCAAGTATTTGTTCCAATACCCGCATACCTGTTCCATTAGCAAATCGCCATAATGCAATTGCGATTTGTTTTCAAGCAGGTATTGCATTAGAGGCTTCACAACTAAAGGCTGAATACATTTTTAATTGAGCGACAATAGTATTAAAAGTAACAAGGGTAATGCAAAAATGTCATCGAAAAGAATTATAACTACCATCATTAGTTAAGTGTGGAAAAACATCAACCCAAAACCCAGCAGTTTTGGGCCTTTGTTGACATTGTACTCTTATATTGGGTAAGGTAAGTGCAACTGGAATAGTCATATTAGTTATCATATAAGCATAGGTAAGAAGATAATAATTGTTGGTTGTTTTTTTTTGGGTTTCTTGACATTTTTTATTTGCCATAAAAGTTTCTAATACGAAGAGTAAAATGGTAATTTGTTGTTGGTGGCGAAGATCTATATTGTTAGAAGTATATTCAGTACAAAAAATGGAAAAAAAATAATAATTCAATTGTAAAAAAAAAAATAATAATGATTCGATTGTAAAAAAAAATAATGGATCATAAAAAAAAAATAATAATTTGATCGTAAAGTGCTTGATCTATGATAAAATTTGGCCAATCAGTGCAGCTTTATAAAGAAAAAAGATGGTCAGTAACCTTTTTTTTTTTTGACTGTAGTAATAAACTCTCTTAATCGGCTAAGCAAATTTTTATTAATTAAAATTTATATACTGATCTATTGATTGAGGTGCTTGAGAGCACCCTAAGTCAGATGTTAGAAAACCCAAATATAATATTGGTTAATCTGCGATCATTTAATATCTGACTAAATCACAAGTATATGACTATTAAATTTTTGTTGATTGTAGCTCAATTTAGCGCCAATAGTAAACCTGAGGCTTTATATTTATTATGAATATAATAATGATGATCAACTTGTACACATAATCTACAATAATAACTAACTAGAGAAATATGTAAAATTGTAGATCCGAAGCATATCTATAAAAAAATTTATCTGTGTTTTACAGTATATCTCACAGTTTTTTTGTAAATATTGCACATTCACAGAGTTTATAATTTAAATCAAGGAGGTTATTTGGCCTGTCTAGACTTTGTTGATCATATTGCAGATTAATGAAGTTTTTATAAAAAATAAGGAAAATAGTAGAAATATTCAAGTAAAATTTTTGCAGAGTTATGATTGTAAAATTTATCATGATTTATTGTAACAAAAAATTTGCTACAAAACTTGCTGTCATGACAGTATAAATTTTTATAGTGTTATGATAATTGCGGTAAGTACAGTATGTCAAGGTTTGTTTAGTTTGTATTAATCAAAATTACTGTAAAAAAATTTGGTATGAAACTTACTATTGTGGTGATGCACAATAAGTAGTTGAGTCATAATTAGAGTGTCTGGCACACTAAAAAAATTGGCATGCCTTTTGTTAAAATTTGTGCCATGGCATGCCTTTTGGCATGCCATAAAATGTTATATACTATTTATAATACTATATATATAGTTTGAATATTATAAGTATAATTTTTATACTATACCCAGTAGCATGCCTTTGCCACTATGCCAGACACTCTAGTCATGATTTATTGCAAAAAAAATTGTTATAAGAATTACTTGTTATTGTGGTAACTCACAGTATGTGATTAAGGTTGAGTAAGTTTGTATTGGATGTAACAATCGTGATTTCTACATGATTATTTCAACTTTTGTTACAAAACTTACTAACTATAGTGGTAACACACTGCATTGATTATGTTACAAT